AAGGATGGGGTACTGGGAAGGGGGAGGATAGGGTGAAGTAGTAGTAATGTGGAAAGGAGGATAACTTACTGAGAGAGAGAGAGAGAGAGAGAGAGAGAGAGAGAGAGAGAGAGAGAGAGAGAGAGAGAGAGAGAGAGAGAGAGAGAGAGACCCAACACAATGTTTTGCCTGGGTGTCCTGAAGGCTGGTGGGTCTAGCAACAAAAAACACTCCCCTCAAACATTCCATCAATACTGATGCACCGCAAGAGAGAGAGAGAGAGAGAGAGAGAGAGGAGAGAAATACCAGATTGTGTGTGTGTGTGTGTGTTTATAAATGTTTTAAAATTTGTTCTCGTATGTGAAGTCTCTTTTGGGTTTTGCTTGGATTTAGTTTTTGATGAAATTCGATAAACTGTTCATTTTGGTGTTGGTTCTGTTCCGACTGGTCTGTTTCCTGGCACCGGACACACACACAGGAAGGATAAATACGAGGGTTTTACGCCCCTTTATTATTTATGTACAGCAACTGTTATATACAATTCTTATATTCATTTGACCTTCACACACCAGTTTATCGCTAGTCACATAACTTTACATTATTTGTCATTATTCTGGTCATAATGTTACGTCATTATGCGTATTGTTCTACCATTTTGTATCTATTGCGTAATTCCGATTCACTTTTGTTTATTTGGGGATTAATCTGTGTTATTATCTGATATCTTTTTATGTAATTCTGCGTCACTTTGCGGCCACACTTTGCGTAATTTTGCCTCATTTTGCGTAATTCTGCCTCATTTTGCGTAATTTTGCCTCACTGTGTAATTATGCCTCACTTTGCATAATTATTTTGCATCAACTGACGTCATTTTTAATCAATTTCCCTCACTTTTCCTCAATTTGTAACAGACAACTTTCATTTTACTCTTTCCTTGTGTGGTTCACTGAATATATCCCAGCCTCTGAACAGCCACGGGAGAACTGTAAATACCTGCATGTATTAACTCAGACGAGGTGATACGTGCTATATACTAAACGGATAATACTTCAACGTCTTTATTCATCTATACGAATACAACTTTTTTCTATACGCCCTTCCTACTCCTCCTCTCCTGTTGCTGTTTTTGTACATTAGCAAAGGAAACAAAAAGTAAGATCAGACAACAAATGAACAGTATCGCTGTGTGCGTGTGTGTGTGTGTGTGTGTGTGTGTGTGTGTGTGTGTGTGTGTGTGTGTGTGTAGAAATATATATTATCTTTGACAATTAAGAGTTACAAGCACTACAAACAGCCCTGTAAATCTAAATCGGCGGTAACAATAAACCGGAAGAAAACACGTAATGATGCGGATGACACTTCCTTGACCTGCCTCCCTAAGTGACCCCTGAAGAAACCATCCTTATTCAATAGTCCCAAAAATCACATTGACTTTGGAATATAATTTTTTTAACATGATAAAAATGTTCGACTACAGAAGATTATCTACCTGAGTTAACTGTCCTACGAGGTATTTTTTTATGTCTGTCTGTCTGTCTGTCTGTTGTGGTTTAAAGAGAAGATGGTTAAATGCGTTCCTCACTTCTCCTAGTAAATTAGGGAGGAAGTGAAAGTAAGGGGGAAGGAAAAGGGGAGGGGGAAAGACCTAGGGATTGAGGGGGTCGAGGGGAGAGGGATGAGAGGAGCGAGGAGGGAAGGGGAGGAAAGGGATGAGGAGTGGGGATAGGTAGAGGGATGGGAGGAACGGGAGGGGTGTTGGGCCTCTGGAGAACAACAACAATAAAGAGTAAATTGTCTCTTCAGAGGAGCACCTACCGAGGCTAAGGCCGCCCCCTTATGATACGCCGGCCCGGAAAATTATATTTACTACTCAGGGAAAAAGACCAACGGTAACGACACACACACACACACACACACACACACACACACACACACACACACACACACACACACACACACACACACACACACACACACACGGGCCACAGCATCAAGGGCGTTCCTGTGAGGCGGACACACGGGAGTAGGCTAGGTTGTATGGGGTCAAGGAAGGCGAGGCCCATAACCTCCTCTTGATAGGCGGGAGGAAGAGGAAGGACTGGGAAGAAGGATGGGGAGGGAAGAGGAAGACGAAGGAAAGAAGCAAGGATTGGGATAGAGGAAGGGAGGTGGGAAGAGGGATGAGGAGAAAGAGAAGATTGGGAAAAGGAGGGAGGAGGAAGAAGTGGAAGAATAGGAAGATAAGGAAGAGGTGATACAGTAACGAAAGAGGACGAGGAGGAATGACTGAGAAGAGGGATAAGGTAGGAGGAAGATAAATACTGGCAAGAGGAAAGGAGAGGGAAGAGGAGAAAGGAGGGAGAAATAAGAAGTGAAAAAGAAGAAAAAGCTTGAAAAGAAAGTAATTGGGAGAGAAGACGAAGGAGCAAAATAACACAGGAAAGAAGGACTGAAGGAGGATAAGGGAAAGGCGAGAAAAATAGGGAAGAGGAAGAATAGGAGGAGGTGTAGGAGGAGGAGGAGAGGCAAGAGGTTTGGGCTGAGAGGAAAATCCTACGTTCTTTCATCCTGTGATCCCTTTAAGGCGTTTGTTGTGTACAGAGTGTGTGGAGGCCTTTACCCTTCGACCTTCTGTCAACTCTCAGGAATTTTACGTTAAAAGCTGGAGTATCATCAAGACTTTACCCCCCTCCTCCCTCCACCACCACCCCCCCCTCCCTCAACCCCTCACCTTCCACCAACTCCCCTCCGTCACCCCCTCCCCCTCCACCAACCCCCCCTCCCTCACCCCATTAAAAAAAAAAACAATGTAAAAAAATCATAAATACGTTCCCTTATAAACTAAATAAATTAATGCAATGTGAGGTATTAATTTACGTTAAACATATATATTCAAAACTGAAGGAAATTGCTATAATTCATAAATTGTAATATGATAGAGAAACCCGTATAGAAATTCAACTGTCGTAAATTATATACGTATTTCTTAAGGCTATACACATATATACATAAACCATATCAGTATATACCAAAATCAGCGTCAGTAGAAGTGGATGAGAGAGAGAGAGAGAGAGAGAGAGAGAGAGAGAGAGAGAGAGAGAGAGAGAGAGAGAGAGAGAGAGAGAGAGAGCGAGAGAGAGAGAGAGAGAGAGAGAGAGAGAGAGAGAGAGAGAGAGAGAGAGAGAGAGAGAGAGAGTATTTGTGTGTCTGTGTCAGGTGGCTGGGACACACCTCTCCCCAGGCTCGAGGCAGCACCATCTAAGCCTCCCCAACACACCCAAGTGAGCTCCATCTCCACCAGGATTAAGGCCGAGGGGGTCACGCCTGAGGGTGCCACGTTACGGAGTGCCACAACTAAGGGGTGCCACGGTACAACAATCCAGGGTTGTCAACGTCAAGTGGTACCACGTCAGGGGGGTTGCAGTGCCATGTCTGGGGTTATCATAGTAAGGAGGGAGGCATGATAGGTATCTACCACTTCAAGGGGTAACATGTTAGGGTGGTGCCACGTCAAGGGAGTGCCAAGTCAAGAAGGTCCCACATCAAGGGTGAGATATCAGGGGGTGCCACATCAGGGGAGTGACATGTTAAGGGTGTCACATTAGACCAATTTCCCACCAGGAGGCCCCCCTAAGTCAAGAGGGTGTCACACCAGGGGGGCCAGGGCCACGGGATACCACACAGGAGGGTGCCACAGGGAAAGGACTCAGTAAAAACACACTAAGGATGACACCAGGCGTCTAACACCCTCACACCGCAAGAGGATTATTATGATTCGCCTTTTATGGCACCAGAGAAAACACAAGTCTCACGTAACACTGTGACGTTAATGTGGAGTTAGGTGTGTGAGGGGAGGCAGTGAGTCAACAGTGGGGTAATGGGTGTTAGTTTCCCTTATTATTTTTTACTACTGCTGATGCTCTTGTTCCTGTTGCTCTTATTATTGTTGCTCTTGCTTCTGTTACTCTTCTTGCTGTTGCTCCTGTTTCTGTTGCTCTTGTTTCTGTTACTCTTCTTACTGTTTCTCTTGTTATTATTTCTCCTTTTACTGTTGATCCTGTTACTGTTACTCTTCTTACTGTTCCTGCTGTTACTGCTGCTAGAGTCATCATTATTGCTGTTGTTGTTGTTGCTCCTGTTACTGTTCCTGCTGTGACTGCTGCTAGAGACGGGGGCCCCTACTTACTACCTCTGCTGCGACTGCTTCTGCTTATTATCAGTTTAGTCTTACGTCACTCCTCGGACTGATTCCTCTGACACTGTTGCCACTACTGACGCCGTCATTGGTCAAGATAACAGCTCTGCTTGTTATGTTTCCGCTTATATCAGGAGGGTGGGGGGGGGGGGAGGAAGATGAAGAGGAGGAAGAAGAATAGTAAAAGAAGAAGGAATAAAGGAGGAGGAAGAAGAATAGAAGAAGAAGGAAAAACGAGGAGGAAATTAGTAGAAGGAAAAAGATAGAGGGAGAAGGAGGATAATATAGAGAGGAGAAAAGGATAGACAATAAAAAGATGATAAATTAGTAGTAAGAAAAAGAATAAAATAAATGAGTGGGAACAGTCGGAAAAATGAGAAGGAGGAAGATAAATAAAATAAGAATGAAGATAAACACGAGGGAAGGAAGAAGAAATAGAAGAATAAACGACAGATGCTTTAGAGTGGCATGAATTCCACTCAATAATTCACCTCACTCATTTATAAACCGACTCATTTACATACTGACTCGTTATTATTCATTCATGTCAGTGATTTATGAAGTAGCTCAATCACTCATTCAGCTAGATGAATCACATAATCACCTGACTCACCTAGATGGCTCACACAATCACCTGACTCACCTAGATGGCTCACACAATCACCTGACTCACCTAGATGGCTCACACAATCACCTGACTCACCTAGATGGCTCACACAATCACCTGACTCACCTACATGGCTCACACAATCACCTGACTCACCTACATTGCTCACACAATCACCTGACTCACCTACATGGCTCACATAACTGGCCTCTGACTCACCCATATGTATCTCCTGGTTATTCTTGTACCACTTCACCTCAGCGACAGGCTTGGCGTCCTCAACCTTACACTCGAGGTTGATCTCCTCGCCCTCGTTCACCTCGATGACGTCCTCTCGCCCTCGACCCAACAGCTCCACGGTCGTCGGTGCCACTGTGGAGGAGCAAGACAAATTCACTTAGTTAGGTTTGGTTAGGTTAGGTTAGGTTAGGTTTGGTTAGGTTTGGTTAGGTTTGGTTAGGTTAGGTTTGGTTAGGTTAGGTTTGGTTAGGAGGAAGTAAATAAGTTAAAAGAAATATTGTATCATGCATTTAAATAGTTACACACTGAGTACACAACCAAACTAAAATATTTCTGCATTGGGAGTTATACCCAGTAATTGATACCTTCCTAGGGCCGGGTTCGAATCTCAATATGAGGGAGAGTTCAGGTTCGTTATCTGTTCTGTTATGGATTCGTGAATATCCTTAAAAATAAATAACTTTGTATGAGCATTATGTGGGTAAGGACTACACATGGTGGATTGTAAGAAATAAAAAATGTCATGCAAACAAAAAACCCGTCATATCAACAGGCAAAAGTGGCGTCTTCTTCTTCCATCCAAAAAAGTATCTTTACCCCCAGCAGAATATTCACGTTATTAGGCAACAAATGAGGCTAAAGACTTGCACTGTAATTCATTTCGAGTTGGGAATCACTTGGCCATTATCAACAAGAGACATTACCCTCAGCAAACTATATCCACCAGGCAGGAATCACCTCGTTAGAGCGCAATATATCACATCACCAGAGGAGTCGATTCCATGTTTCCGAAATTGATGAAATTAAAAATATGAAACATTCCAATATCAATAATAGAGTAAAGCAGAATTGAGTTTATACAGAAAGGCTTTATCAGTTATACTCCAATTCAATTGTTTATTTGTCAACAGAAGTAAAACTGGGCTGACAAAAGAGCAGAAAGCAACTGCCGGCTGTACAAAATTGTGAACTAATAAAAAATAGTGAAAAAAGTGAATTAATAAATATATAAAACCTTCAATATTGACGAATTGTATTATTAAATTACTTTCATTTTCTGAAGCAACATGTGAACACTTTATGATCTCCGTGTTCAAATTTGGTGTTCAGTTTTCACCCAGTGTTCAGTGTTCAACTTAATGCTCAGGTGTCCCGTATACATCCCAATGCTCACCCCAGTGTTCCGTGTTCACCTTAGCGTTCAGTGTTCAACTCAAGTGTTTTGTTCACTTTTACCAGTGTTACCAACGGCAGTGACGCCCATAGGTAGCACTGGAGGTGAACACGTAGGCAGACAGTGTAGTGAGTAACCTAACCTAACCTAATCCGAACTTGAACCACTTTGAACTCTGACTAAATCAAACTCTAAGTAATTCTATCTCCCCCTTCTCTCATATTTCAGTGAACAAGAGGTCTCTCTCTCTCTCTCTCTCTCTCTCTCTCTCTCTCTCTCTCTCTCTCTCTCTCCCCCTTTCTCTCTCCCTTCTCCTCTCTCCACCCCTCACACACTAGTGGGAAAGCACACAATAACTTCCCCCTTTTCACTCCTTCAGATTTGAACGAGCTAGCAATCAGTCCCTCACTCACTCAACTCCTTCTTTCCTTCCCTCCTCCCTCCATCTATTTTGATTTCAGCGAGCTTTAAGAGTCTCTCTCTCTCTCTCTCTCTCTCATCGGCTTCAGAAAGCAAGCAAGCAAGCAGTCAGGCAGCTAGTCAGCCAGTCAGTCAATCAACTACCTCCCTCTCCCCTTCCTTCAAACTTCAACAAGCAAGCAACTCTCCCTCCCTCCCTCTCCCCCTCCCTAAGATTTCAGAAAACAGGCAAGCAAATCAATCACACCCTCCCTCCCTCCCTCCCTCCATCCTTCCCTCCTCTACACCTTCATCAAGCAAGCAGTCACACTCCTTACAAGACCTCATGCAATCGGCCTCTGTCATGCCAGGCCAAGATACTTGTAGTTATCGGACGTCAGTGCCTCCTCATGCCTGGCCTCCCACACCCAGCAATTAAGCTGCATCAAGAGAATGGGGCAAGTTTCTAATTAATGGCTGGTAGGTGTTATATGGAGTGGGGAAATCTCAGCCTCAGATAAGTCAGGGAGAGAGAGAGAGAGAGAGAGAGAGAGACGAACACATCCATTTGGTTTAATTTCACCAACCATGTCACAATACATCAAGCTCATCACCTCCAAACTTCACCTCCCTCAAAAACTTTCAACGTCTCTACTTTCTCCAAACTTTCTAAGTCTATATAACCTTTCTTAGTACTCGACCACTCCAAGAGGCAGCCACCATAAAGCCTATTCAATGTACCTCTCAACCACGGACACATCTTGCCAATAAAGGATACACAACACATACAAGTGCCTCAGGTCTGTCCTTAGCGGCACAACAAAGTGTTTAAGTGATTCAGTTTATGTTTGTAAAGAGTCGTAGGTTGTCTTTAGTGATATAATAACAGTTTGAAGCGATATATGAAGGACATGCTTTGGTTATCAAGTAAATATTAATCAATTCTTATAGTAAAAGTGTGAGTTGTGGTAATGCAAAAACACCCTGGTTGTGAATGATCTGCAGGGAGATCTATCAGTGTATGTATATCCTGTCTGAACACCACGGCGCTCTATCCGTGTCCCTTCATCGGCGAAGTAGTGACGAATGATTCTCGAGCAGCCGCCGGGGACAACCTTGGGGCGTACATACCGCCTCCTGAGCGACTTCGGCACAGCTCTGATATAATTGTTTTTGGTAATGAGATTAACTGGGAGGAAGCAGAGAATGGAGACGCCCCCGGATAATTAAATTGGATTCTGGAGGAACAAGCTGAGGATGCGCCAGGTCCTTCTACGAGTATAGGTCCTTCAGGGCAGAGATTCCCGCTACAATAGTGGGCGGTAGGACCTGCACCTGGCATCCCTGAGAAGGAGCTACATGGTACAGTTTTGATAAATACTACACATAGAAAAGTCAGACAGATCAGAGACTCATTTTCAGTTTTCTTTGAGGGCAACAGTAGTGTTTTATGCGAGTATTAAAACACTAAATATATCTATATATGTCATATATATATATATATATATATATATATATATATATATATATATATATATATATATATATATATAAAATATATGTATAAAATTTTACTAATGTATATTTCCCTATACAGAGCCAGGATATAGTCGTTGTATTTTATTAAAACTGTGTTAATGAGAGAGAAGACACGTATTAAGATCAAGACATAACGAAGAAGAAAAGTCACCCCAGCCATGAGGATCGTTCTGTCTTCATTACCACCAGGAATGTCAACACTGCCTGACATTCTTCATCATAACTCGCGTCGTCTTTCAGGCAAAGTGCAGGTGTTGAGGGCAGGTAAGGTGACGTGTGTGTGTGTGTGTGCGTGTGTGTGTGTGTGTGCGCACGTCCGTGTCAGCTTGAAAGTTCATGCGTGCGTGAATTCATTACGTGTGCAGACGAGCGTATGTATGTATGTTAAGTACTAGTGTGTGCAGTGTAAGGACCCGACAGAAACACAGACAGAGACAGACAGACACACACACACAGCATGACGCACACTGTCTGCCCGCGTTATGACAACATCAACACTCGCCTCCAACGCTACACCGACGCACTTAATTTCTGCCCGTAATTGCGTTTCGGCCTTTTTGCCTTCACAACAAGTTGGAGGAGAGTGAACCCTGCCCTCTGTTAATGAGGTTTTTCCCCCCGCTCGGGATGGACGAGATCTTCACTCATAACATTAAAAATATTGTCCAAATCTGCAGAAAACAAAAATTAAATCCTTTCCGTGAACAGATCAACGTGTGGCTTACTATTCACCTGCCAAAGATTAGAAAGGGAATTGTAATTTGTACCTTTCTGTTCAGGATTGGAAGGACAGTTCTTGTTTTCCCTTCTATAATCAAGAATTGGGGATGTCTTTGTTATCCCGGCGGGGTAGATGGCCTTGATCATGATTAGGAATTAGAGACGTCATTCTTCATTGTAGCGCAGTAAAGGACGATTAAAATATAAGTATACAAAAATGGCTTTAAAATCGATCTGACCCCAAAAAATAAAACGACCAATATCTCTCCTTTATTATGAGACCAAGTGAGCAATAAAATACCTCAAGGGACCACGAGACAAAAAAATATATAGCTCCGACAAGAAATATTCCTGATTAATGAAAGACCAGCTGATGTAAGATATCATTAACAGAGACAGTTCATCCAGACACAATAGGTGAATATGTGTCCCTACCCCACCCTACCACACCCCACCCTACAACACCCCCCCACCAATTCCATTCCTCCAGCACTATAAGCACTCCCCAATAACACACAATAATAATAACACACACACATCATCATCATCAATAATAATAATAAACACACACACACACACACACACACACACACACACACACACACACACACACACGTAAATAATAAAGAAACACATTATACAGGAGCATCGGTGTTACCTGCCCCCTGTCACGCTGGTTATTCCCACTTACCGCGTAAAAGGTGTTAAGTGTTTATGGGGCGCCGCGGGGGATGGGTGGGGGGGGGAGGTGATAAAGAGAGGAAAACAAAAATATTAAAATAATAATAATATCAAGTACTCATTCAAAGAGATCGAATTAAATATTGAATAGGTCGCCGCCCAACATCCAGAGGGTTGGGGTGGTAGCGTGGTCATGAAAGTTTGTTGTGGTAGTAGTTTGTGGTATTACTTTATGAACAAACTATATATTCGTTTATATAGTGTTCTGGGGAGTTAGTCACGCAATAGAGGAAGTGCTGTGTGTGTGTGTGTGTGTGTGTGTGTGTGTGTGTGTGTGTGTGTGTGTGTGTGTGTGTGTGTGTATCCTAAGCATTATACTGGGATCCCGGGTTTGATCCCCGGGCAGGGTGAAACTATGGGCAAGTTTCTTTACACCATTTGCCTCTGTCTACTCAGCAGTAATTGGGAACCTGAATGTTAATCGATTTGCGGATAGTATTCCGAGGTAATGGTTAGCCAGTACAGTTGGCGAGTTGTCCTGTATTCTCGGACTATTCCTTTACACTGGGTCATGCAGCTCGTTAACCTAGGGTGTGATTGTTGCGTTGGCGACGGCTTCTACACTTTAAACAAATTCACGCTTAAGTGACCCTAGGGCCGGCCATCCTCGTACACGAGAGGTAACCACTATAATATACTCGTATATACTGTACAAGCCAATGTGTTCTTCTCAAAGTTACCCCTTCCTCTCCCCCACCATCACCCTCTCTTCACCTCTCTCCCTTCCTCCTTTTACAACAACTACTACCTCTCTCACCTACTACTACTACTTGTCGTTTCCTCTCCCCCACGATTCTCTCTCTCCACCTTTCCGTTTTCAACTTTTCACCAGCAAGGTTTAGCATATGGTCAACTGGCCGTATGCATTTTTCTATACATTTCGCTCCCTCAACCGAGTACCCTTCAATTATGGTTGAGAGGCGGTCTGCTAGAGATTGGTTGGTGTGAAATTGAAGTGTAAATGGATTTCCCCTCTCCTCCTGTACCTCCTTTACCTTCTCCCCTCACTCACTCCTTCCTCCCTCGCTCCTTACTCCCTACCTACCTTACTCCGTCATCACTGCTCCTTCCTTTCTCCCTCTTCCCTCACCCATTCCTTTCTCCCTCCTTGCCTACCTTCCCTCTCTTCTTTCACCTTGATTTTTCTTCCCCTCCTTCACACCTTCCTTGATTTCCTTTCATTTTTTTTTATCCTCTTCTCATTCCTCCCTTTTCCTTTATCTCTCTCTCTCTCTCTCTCACCCTCGATTTCCTCCCCTTCTCCACAACATCCTTGACTTGTTTCTTTATTCTTCCCCCCTCCTCTACCTACATCTTTTATCTCTCTCCTCCACTTTCCCCTCCATTCCCCCTCTCTCTTATCCTTGATTTTCTCCTCTCATCCAAACTCTCCCCTTGTCATCTTTCTCTTCAATTTATCTCTTACTCCCCTTCTGTTCCTCCTCCTCTTCTTCCTCTTTTTCATCTTTCCCCCCTTCCATTCCCCCTCTTTATTACCCACGATTTTCTCCTTTCATCCACACTTTCCTTAGCATTTTCTTTCTCTTCGCGCTATCTCTTTCTCCTCTCCTTCCTCTTCCTTCTCTCCTTCCTCTCCTTCCTCCTCCTCCTCCTTCTGCAACCAATTTCCATAACTCTCTGCTTTTTCTTTTGACAAAATGATCTGAACCATGACTGTTTGAAACCTGAACATCCACACACACACACACAACCACCCGACACACCACCACATATCCACCCAACACACACATATCTACACATCCACACCCCCTCCACACACCCACGAGCCTCACAATCAATACAAAGAAAGTCAGAGAAGAACCCCACCGGGACAGGAAGTGACGGAGAAGAATAGATTCCTCCATTACCGCGAACTCGGAAGGTCGCCAGCCAAAGAGAGAGAGAGAGAGAGAGAGAGAGAGAGAGAGAGAGAGAGAGAGAGAGAGAGAGAGAGAGAGAGAACAAATGTACGCGTTCCTTAGGTTGAAGTTATTGGATCAGTCGACCATTCACACTAATCAATTGTCATGGCCTTATTGTTTACAGACAGACATCAGGGTGGAGGCTTATCATGTTATTCTATTTCCATTCTTTCATTCATCCTTTTTGTTTTATTAATTTTACGAATCTAGGAAGAATAGGAAAGGTAGATATATATATTAATTCTTGTAGGTCAGTCAGCCAATAATAATCCCTGGATGGCTACCAAGAGATATAATCATTGGTTGGGAGGATCTGTATGCACTCTTGGCCAATCGTGGAGGTTTTATGGGATGCCAGCCAATGATTTTATATCTTGTATTCATTCAGGGATGTGATAGGCTGTCCTTTTAACTACTTCTGACTTATCTAAGGGACTCCAGTATAGATAGTCGTTTATACAGGTTAGGTTAGGTTAGGTCATGTCTTTCTTCTCTATTCTTTCTTTCACTTTTCCTTTTCTTCTCTACTCTCTTCCTCTATTTCTTTTTCCCCCTTTACGCTCACTTTCTTATTCTTTTTTTTTCTGGTGTTATTTACAGTATTCTTATGCGTTAACTTTTACTCTTCTTTTCTTTCTCTTCCCATTTCCTCTTCCCCTCCCTTCCTTAACCATCTCTCTATATCTTTTCTCCTTTCCTCTTCCTCCCTTTCTTCCCTTACCTCCTCTTCACTTCTCATTTTCTGTCTTACCACCCTTTTTCCCTCCTCCTCCTCTCCCTCACCCTCCCCCTCCTCTTTTTTCTTCCCTCACCTCCTCCCTCTCCCTCACCTCCTCCCCTTCCTCACCTCCTCTTCCCCTCACCTCCTTTCTTCCCCACCACCCCCTCTTCCTCACCTCCTCCTCTTCCTCACACCTCCACCTCTCCCCCTCACCCTCCCCCTTCTTTTCTTTCCCTCACCTCCCCTCCTCTCTTCCCTCACACCTCCTTTCTTCCCCTCACGACCTCCTCTTCCTCACCTCCTCCCCTCTTCCCTCACCTCCTTTCTTCCCTCCACCTCCTCTTCCCCTCACCCACCTCTTCCTCACTCTTCTTCCCTCACCTCCTCTTCCCTCACCTCCTCTTCCCTCACCTCCTCCCTCTCCCTCACCCTCCCCCTTCTCTTTCTTCCCTCACCTTCTCAGCTATCTCACCCAGCGTGGGATGGTCTTCGTAATTATAAAAGTCGAATTCACTTTTTCACATCATTCGTTCACGTCGAGTTAACGTAAGATTAGTTTCCGATGGCAAAAAGAAACACACAACAAAAAAGAAATACTGATAATAACTAAAATAACCAAATAAATCACCCAAGAACTTAAGATAAATTACCATCCGTTTGCAAACATTTTCTAATTAGATGTTGATAATTCTAAAAACATTGATGGATTTTGATGGATTTGAGATAAATTAAGAAATACTATATTTCACACACACACACACACACACACACACACACACACACACAGCTGAGGACCATCTACAACGCCTTTATTCTCCCCAAACTAACCTATGCGTCACCAGCCTGGTCGTCTTCTCTCAACTCCACCCAACAACGTCAGCTAGAGAAGGTACAGAAAAGGGCCTGCAGAATCATGCTCGGCGCAGAATACTCCGGCTACACCAACGCTCTCTCCACCCTGGAAATGCCATCCCTCAGTGACCTCCACCACCAAGCACTGGAAAGGTTTGGCAGTGGACTACTGCACCACCCTCGCCATCGCCACCTCCTGCCACCTGCAGCCCCCACCCAACTCGCGCAGTCCGCCACTACAACAAAATTCAGCCCATAAGAGCCCTCACCGATAGATATAAGAACAGCACCATCCCATCTATTGTTAAAATAATAAACAACTCCTGATTTATGTACTGTACAGCCCTGTAAATGTATTCAATGCATATTATATCATTATGTCTAAATCAAATGTAAGTCTGTATATTTTCAGCCACCGGCTGCAACTCTATTAATAAACCGTTTATTATTATTATTATTACACACACAACCTAGTTTCCCCCTATAGTGAAGTAATTATACCTGGGAACAGTTCAGAGAATACGGTCAAGTACATCAACATAGTCCATTACAACACACAAGGCAACCAACACAGTCCACCAGTCTATTTATACGTGTCTTTCTCCGCCCAACAGGAAGGCCCATGACAGCTAAGGTCTTGCACATGACATGATTACCCCCTAAGCGTCAAGGACGAATGGTAAGGTCACTCTTTAACAATGCGACTTTGGAGGGCCTTTAGATATGTAGTCAATACACATGATTACATTCCCTTGTTAAGTTGTCTATTGAAGAGGGAAAGTGGTTAGTTATTTGTGCACCCTATACTCAATGTCTACTAGAGGTTATGTGTTTTTGACTACACAATCACACGTTTATTAATACGAATATATGTACAGATTTGAAGAATATTTCTGTGACCAAGAGTTAAC